AAAAAAAAAAAAAAAATTTTTTTTCATTTTTCACAAAGTCCAAAGTAAAAAAGTTACCATAGAAACATTGTACTACTTGGGAAGTGATCAGTATTTTTTTTTTTTACAAATTTGCTATAGCAAAGAATTACTTTGCAAACAAGCTTTTTACCCGAATGACATCGTTTCATTCGGGGTTTTTTTTTTTTCTTTTGTGCTTACTGTGTTTTTGGCCACAGCTAATCACATGACCAGTGCAAATGTGAAATAGCTGTTGACCATTCACAGCTAGACCTAGTATACAATGGTTTGCATGAATGAAGCCATCCATTGTATAACAACTATCATGTACCACTGTATTTGACACAAGCAGGTCACATGAAACCGGTAAACGGGGGACTGGACTCAGATCTGTCATCGGTTGTGTGTCCGAGGTACTGCGCATGATGCAGGAGGACGCCAATGGTGCTCCCGAAAGCTAATACATTTTTACGGACGCCATTCGGCCATAGGCTGGGCGTCAAATGTAAAACCACTTGACCTCTGGAAAGTTTTACCCCCTTCATGACCACACCATTTTTGCTATTCAGCACTGTGCTAATTTAAAAACTGGCATTTGCTCGGTCATGTAATGTTTGTACCCAAATGAAATTTTATATAATTTACTCCACAGCAAATAGAGCTTTTTTTGGTGGTATTTGATCACCACTGAGTTTATTATTGTATTGTATAACGTATTCTGGTTACATGTCTTTGGAAACAAATCCCAATAATTGGTTTGCGGGGGGAAGTATAGAGTCTACAAACTATGGTATAATTGAAAATCGATTAAATCCTGATAGTACTGATGACCCATCTCATTTTACTGATGCCCTATTATGGCAGGACAGTACAAATACCCCCAAATGACCCCCTTTTGGAAAGTAGACAGTTGAGAGTATTTAGTAAGAGGCATGGCGAGAGGTATTTTGAAGATTGTAATTTGTCACAATTTTTTTAATAAATGTAATAAAAAATGTTCTCGTCATTTTTTTTTCCATGCTGTCACTAGTGCAGTGCAACTGTAACAGTATGTTTTAAACATTACACATTTTTATAACATTTTTTAAACTTTTAAAAAAAATATATTTATTTTTTTTTACAATTTTTTTTTTACATTAGAGTAGTTCAGTGTCACCATTACTACTACTGGGGGATTGATCAGGGATTTTTTTTTTTTTTACAGTTTGATTACTATGACTATGATGATCACTATAACAGCAATGTTTTGTACTGATCATGTGACACCCCAGCCTACCAGTCAAGGGGTCTAGTGTTGAAAGGATAACTGAATTGTTCTGAGTTTCAGAATGTTGTTTGGGAGACAAGTTTCATCCATTAACATCCATTGATAAAGACCTTTGCACTGAAAGAGTATCAAGCTCTCTTTCCCAGCCTGACAGGATGTCACAAACTCCAGCACTAAAATTCTGATCCACCAGGCTAGGGTTTGTGGATTAGGTGAATTTTGTGTTCCAGAGACTGAATGTATCTTCTCTATGTTGCCAGAATGTTGAGTTGCAATGGCCTGGAATGACATTGGGCATAGAGGACTTACTTACAGGAGGCCACTTTGAAGCCAAGAACCCTCATGCAAAAGCAGAGGGTTGGATGGCTCTTGGACTGTAGAGTCTGAGCATGGACACAAAGAATCTGGAGTTTGTCCTGTGGGAGATAAGATTTGGACAGGGCCAAATCCAGGACCCGATCTAGATAGTCCATGCAATGAGACAATAACAGTACTGACTTCTGGGAGTTTTAGGATCCACCTCAATCTCTGTAGGATTTGGACAGTTTGAAGGGCATTGGCTGATTTCCAACTGTTCTGTCAAATGAAGGTCTATGAGCGCTTGATATAGAAACTGTGCCAGAGCGATGTAGCTGTCTGCTTGTCTTTATGAGGATATTGGACAGGTTAAACAAACCCTACTTGGAGGTAGAGTTGGAGGTAGAGTGTCAGGGCTCCCGGGTGTGACCAGAGGTATGTGACTGACGCAGGGAAACGCAGACTTCAGATATGTTATAAACAATATAATTTATTAACACTAACAATACAAACATAAACGCAGTGCAATACTAAAACATAACACAGTGCAAACAAACCAAACCAACCACCCACAGATAACAGTACATACAATGCAAGCGTCGTCAGGCAGGCCGGGTCAATATCAATCGGGCAGGTAGGTACAGGGGGAGCAAGCGGAGAATGGTCGGGGTCACAGGCCAGGTTCAGCAGGTAGCGGGCAGCGTGGTACAGAGGGTCAGGCAGAGGGATGGTCAGGGTCACAAGCCAGGGATCAGAACAGGAGAAGTCAGCAGAGGTAAGAATCAAGCAGGGTCAGCAACAAGACAGGAACAGGAACGCAGGTTTACAAGATACAGGGCCCAGGAAAAACACACACCAAGGCAGAGTCTGCAGGTCTGGCCATCCCTTAAATACACCAGTATAATTAGTTCCAGGTGTTTGACTGGCTGCAAGGTTGAGTCTCTGATTGCTGGGAGCACCCGCTGGCCAGCCCTGGTACTGCAGCTCATAAGGCAGGTGAGTCCCACTATTGCTGGCCAGTCCATTCCTGACAGTACCCCCCCCCCTCAAGGAGCGGCCTCAGGACGCTCCAAACAGTCCTAGCTGGGCAAAATGTTCCACCGCCCGGGTCTGGTAACTGGCGGGATATTAAAGACTGGCACACCGGGCAGGACTCCGGGCAGCGGCACACCGGGGGCAGGGGCACACCGGGCAGAGGCACACCGGGCAGAGGCACATCGGGCAGAGGCACATCGGGCTGGACTCCGGGCAGAGGCACATTGGGCTGGACTCCGGGCAGAGGCACATCGGGCTGGACACCGGGCAGAGGCACATCGGGCTGGACTCCGGGCAGAGGCACATCGGGCTGGACTCCGGGCAGAGGCACATCGGGCTGGACTCCGGGCAGAGGCACATCGGGCTGGACTCCGGGCAGAGGCACTCCGGGCAGCGGCACACCGGGCAGAGGCACTCGGGGGCAGAGGCACATCGGGCTGGACTCCGGGCAGAGGTACATCGGGCTGGACTCCGGGCAGAGGTACATCGGGCTGGACTCCGGGCAGAGGCACATCGGGCTGGACTCCGGGCAGAGGCACATCGGGCTGGACTCCGGGCAGAGGCACATCGGGCTGGACTCCGGGCAGAGGCACATCGGGCTGGACTCCGGGCAGAGGCACATCGGATTACCAGGCGAGAGCAGCAGGCAGCGGGCCACCAGGCGGAGCAGCAGGCACCGGGCCACCAGGCGGAGCAGCAGGCACCGGGCCACCAGGCGGAGCAGCAGGCAGCGGGCCACCAGGCAGAGCAACAGGCATCGGGCCCCCAGGCGGGGCGACAGGCACCAGGCCCCCAGGCGGGGCGACAGGCACCGGGCCCCCCGGCGGGGCAACAGGCGTCGGGCCCCCAAGAGGAGCGGCGGGCGCCGGGCCCCCAGGAGGGGTGACAGGCATCGGGCCCCCAGGTGGGCGACAGGCATCGGGCCCCCCGGTGGGGCGACAGGCATCAGGCCCCCAGGCGGGGCGACGGAAATCGGGCCCCTAGGCGGAGCGGCGGGCGCCGGACCCCCAGGCGGAGCGACAGGTCTCGGGCCCCCAGGCGGAGCGGCGGGCGCCGGACCCCCAGGCGGAGCGACAGGTCTCGGGCCCCCAGGCGGAGCGGCGGGCGCCGGACCCCCAGGCGGAGCGACAGGTCTCGGGCCCCCAGGCGGAACGGCGGGCACCGGACCCCCAGGCGGAGCGACAGGTCTCTCAGGCCCCCAGGCGGAGCGACAGGTCTCAGGCCCCCAGTCGGAGCGACAGGTCTCAGGCCCCCAGGCGGAGCGACAGGTCTCAGGCCCCAGGCGGAGCGAAAGGTCTCAGGCCCCCAGGCGGAGCGACAGGTCTCAGGCCCCCCCCAGGCGGAGCGGCGGGCGCCGGACCCCCAGGCGGAGCGCGGCGGGCGCCGGACCCCCAGGCGGAGCGACAGGTCTCGGGCCCCCAGGCGAGCGGCGGGCACCGAGTCACCGGCACGACAGTGGGCTCCGAGTCAACTGGCAAGACTGCGGGCACCGAGCCAACTGGCGGAACAGCGGGCTTCGCGTCGTCTGGCAAGACTGCGGGCACCGAGTCGTCTGGCAAGACTGCGGGCACACCGAGTCAACTGGCAAGACTGCGGGCACCGAGTCGTCTGGCAAGACTGCGGGCACCGAGTCGTCTGGCGGAACAGCGGGCATCGAGTCAACTGGCGGAACAGCGGGCACCGAGTCGTCTGGCAAGACTGCGGGCACCGAGTCGTCTGGCAAGACTGCGGGCATCGAGTCAACTGGCGGAACAGCGGGCTTCGAGTCGTCTGGCAAGACTGCGGGCACCGAGTCGTCTGGCAAGACTGCGGGCACCGAGTCGTCTGGCAAGACTGCGGGCACCGAGTCGTCTGGCAAGACTGCGGGCACTGAGTCGTCTAGCGGAACAGCGGGCATCGAGTCAACTGGCGGAACAGCGGGCACCCGAGTCGTCTGGCAAGACTGCGGGGCACCGAGTCGTCTGGCAAGACTGCGGGCACCGAGTCGTCTGGCAAGACTGCGGGCACCGAGTCAACTGGCGGAACAGCGGGCACCGAGTCGTCTGGCAAAACTGCGGGCACCGAGTCGCTGGCAAGAACTGCGGGCACCGAGTCGTCTGGCAAGACTGCGGGCACCGAGTCGTCTGGCAAGACTGCGGGCACCGAGTCGTCTGGCAAGACTGCGGGCTCTGAGTCAATTGGCACGACAGCGGGCACCGGATCAGGTACCGGATCATCTGGATCAACAGCGGGCATCGAGTCAACTGGCCTCATAGAATCATCAGGCTGGATCAGTTCATTATGCTGGGTAGAGGCATCCGGCTGAGTAGAGGCTTCAGGCTGAGTAGAGGCTTCAGGCTGAGTAGAGGCTTCAGGCTGAGTAGAGGCTTCAGGCTGAGTAGAGGCATCAGGCTGAAGAGAGGCACCAGGCTGAACCACGGAAGGCAGGTTCTCAGATGGCAGGCTCACCGGTTTGGATACTGGCAGGATGGTATTGGTTGGAAAGAATTTTCGCTTTTTTCTGGTTTTAACTACTGGAGCACTGCAAGTAAACGCAGGTCTGCAAACGAATGGAGCAGCTGGAGACAGAGAAGAGCTGGAAGATGGAACAGAGGAGGGAGCAGTTGCTACAGAGGGCTTTTTTACAGGGTTAAAGGCAGGATAGGTGCAGCGAGTGGGAACAGGGTACTGACATGCGGTAGATAGCAGGGCAGGAGGAGCTGTAGGAAATGCAGGAATAGAGCTTTGAGGAAATAGATTAGAAGCAGGACTGGGTTTTTGTAAGCTGACTGAGGCTGGGTGCAACAAATCTGTCCATGTCTGCAGTATGGGTTGAACAAAGCTGAGCTTACACAAAGCCTGTCTGACCAAAGACTGCACTGCGTTTATACAATCTCTTAGTGTACCTGTGGTGAACATGCAGCATAATGCTCCAAGAAGCAATCCACATCATCCTCTAATAACCACACCAGGGACTCTACCTGGTCAGCACTAAATGGCGGCAAAAATTCATCCCTGCATTCGGGGGTACCAGATGAAACCAACTCCGCACAAACCTGAATCAATGGCTGCACCTCAGAGAATTCCGTGCCCTGATCTACTAGAACATGAACGAGCCGTATACATTCTAGCAGTTCATCCCGGGGATACTCCTTCAGAGTTTGACAGGCATACTCTCTGTCATCAAACACTAGCAGATATAAATACACAACCTCATCAAGATCCATCCTTCCCATGAACAAACCAAGATGGCTTCCCTGTGCAGCCACTTCTGGTCAGGATTGGCCTTGGTGTAATGTCAGGGTTCCCGGGTGTGACCAGAGGTATGTGACTGACGCAGGGAAACGCAGACTTCAGATATGTTATAAACAATATAATTTATTAACACTAACAATACAAACATAAACGCAGTGCAATACTAAAACATAACACAGTGCAAACAAACCAAACCAACCACCCACAGATAACAGTACATACAATGCAAGCGTCGTCAGGCAGGCTGGGTCAATATCAATCGGGCAGGTAGGTACAGGGGGAGCAAGCGGAGAATGGTCGGGGTCACAGGCCAGGTTCAGCAGGTAGCGGGCAGCGTGGTACAGAGGGTCAGGCAGAGGGATGGTCAGGGTCACAAGCCAGGGATCAGAACAGGAGAAGTCAGCAGAGGTCAGAATCAAGCAGGGTCAGCAACAAGACAGGAACAGGAACGCAGGTTTACAAGATACAGGGCCCAGGAAAAACACACACCAAGGCAGAGTCTGCAGGTCTGGCCATCCCTTAAATACACCAGTATAATTAGTTCCAGGTGTTTGACTGGCTGCAAGGTTGAGTCTCTGATTGCTGGGAGCACCCGCTGGCCAGCCCTGGTACTGCAGCTCATAAGGCAGGTGAGTCCCACTATTGCTGGCCAGTCCATTCCTGACATAGAGTTTTAAATTCTAGCTTGTAGCCCCTGGATACCACAGTCGGAACCTAAATGCCTATAATGTCCTGGGATCAGGTAACTGCAAAGGCCAACTATGATCAGTGAGTGAATGAGATGGATTGCTTAGGGGATTTGGTGGTCCAGGATTTAAGGCGGAATATGAGTCTTGGGTTTTTCCATGGACTTAGAGGCCAGGGAGAAATGAAAGGAACTCTTCTTAGTCTCTGAGTTAAAGGGTTTAACAGTCTAAGGCTTAGCCTTCTTCTTTGAGGCTGTTCCCCCAGTGACACCCTTGATAAAGTTGTCCGGAGATTCTCCAAAGATGTGTTCCCCCTCAAAGAGCATACGGAAAGCATTTTTGCAAGGATGCCTTTCAGATCAACATTTGAGCCAAAGGGTCCGTTTATTGTGCACTGAAACTTGACTCTTTCTGAATATCAAGGGAGAAATATCTGCCAACCCATCAATGCAGTAGATAAGGGCCATAGCCATGAATTCCAGTTGTTGGTGGAAAGGGGAATAATTGAAAATTTATCTGGGATCTTGAAACATGTCTTTGGATCAGACACTTTAAGTTTGAAAGACAAACATAACCACAATGACAGGCTGTAGGACAGGGCCTACAGGCCTTGGAAAGGATGTATAGCCTTTTATCCACAGGGTCTTTAAACACAGGGATGCTCTCTTCAGGGACATTCAAAGTCATGTTATTGCAAAAATGGCTGGATCCACTATGAGGATGGTCCTATTTTAAGGAACTCCTCCTCAATAAGATATTGCTACACAAAATTTGAGAAGAATAAGGATCTTTTCAGGATTACACCAGATGATGTAGAAAACATGTTGTAAGGTGAGGTTTTCGCTTCTTAGGGTTCTTTCGGGGAACCCAGACTAATAACCAGGCTAGCACTGCACCAATAAAGACAGAAATGGTGCAGTAACATCAGAAGACTGAAGCTCAACTTTGTACTAAGTCATCAAACATAAAAACTTCCTATTCACCCTCAGCTGACTGTTTAGAAGCAGTTGCAGCCAAGGGGAAATCATAGATGGTCTCTGGAAAGGATTATATGGATTGCACAAATGCATCCCCTGTGCTCTGACATAGCTAACATGGCTGAAATGTTTTCCATAAACTCAGATAGTTACCAAAAACTCCTCCATAGATGAGATAGAAAAGAATGCAATCCCTGAAGGGGTTCAGGACTACTTTAAGGAGTGTTGTGACCAGGGGCGGACTGAAAACTCATGGGGCCCCGGGCAATCGGAAATCATGGGACCCCGTGTCCTCGCCAACACTCAAACCACACCCAAAAAAGCCTATGAAAGGTACCAGGGGCATCTCATGGGGCCCCCTACTGACCTTGGGCCCTCGGGCAGTGCCTGAATGGTCAGTCCGCCCCTGATCCCATGAGACAGGGAAAGTGTCCCAAACTATCACTGTAACAACCCTTAGATTACAAGGTGATAGGAAGTCCATTGACTTGGCTTACACGTCTGTTGTCAGTCTACAATATGCAGAAACAAGAACCCAATAGAAACCAAGATGCCTACACTGTAAACTCCTCAAACCAATCTCTCGGCACCACCAACATCTGATGTACCTGAGGTAAGAGATGTGTTGTCTCTCTGTTTCTGAGGTTGGAACTGAGACTCATCTTTTGAGAGAGACCTAACTTTGGGAGTTCACCTGTGCATTTTTAAATTGTCTGCAAACTTGCAAGGGACAGTGCATTCCAGTGTGCTGTAGCGTAGTGTGGTAGATTATGCTCAGATGCAGGAGCAGGTCCCTTTATTCCATTGCCACAAATTTCTAGACATGTGCAAGGAGTATACATTCCACATTTTCTATACCTAAACAGTTCAGAGAAACCACACCTGAGTAGGGGTTTGATCTGCGGCCAGGTGAGAGGAGGCCCTACACTATCAGAACTAGCATGCAGGAAGCTGGGCCAGGGCCTAATAGCACACAGTTTCTTTAGAAGATCCCTTGCTGAGTACTCCATGTCCAGTGAGTTTGCCCTTTGTCCTTGGGCCTATGATCCATCCAGCTGTTCACCTGTGTTAACAATATTACCCAGAATTTCACTGTGAGGAACAATGTTTATGAGGATAAATGTAAGAAGTGTTGTGAACTGTTTTATTGAAGTAGTGATACTCAGCTTGACTCTCTGTTCTAACCTGTTTACTATATTGTTTCCAACCTTGCACCTGTTTAATAAAGTTACAGTTACTCTCTTTCTGATCAATAGGCTGATTACCTATTTTTAAATACAAAAGATTAGGGAAGCACTATAAAATGATATACTAATTCATAAAATCATAATACAAAATCCATATATCGTGTGTTGTGACAACTCATAAATGATAATTGTCTTCCAAAAAATCACCACCATGCAAATCCGTGCAAAGAAACAACAAATGTGCTACCATCCTATGAAATAAAGCTCACACAAGAGTATTGA